TGAGCCCGGAAGCCGTGTGGGCTGGCCCCGGGAGCTGCTGCCTCTCCCTGGCTGTGGCTGCTGGAGCTCCCTGGGAGTCACAGCCACACTCAGGTGTGGGAGCCTGGCTTCTTCTCTGCCAGAGGAGCTTCTAGCGTGGTTTGAACTGCTGAGCTGCTGGTTTCTGCAGGCAAGAGAAGGACCTATTGGAGGAGAATTTCCCCCAATCCCAGCTCTGAACGATCTTGTGTGCACAAGGTGAGGTGTTGTTGCCATCTGCTGGCTTCTTGTACTTGGTTCCTGGTTGACTGGGCTTAATTTCTGGCTCTGTCAGGATTCTGGGTCTCCACTTCGGTGAAGGAGCCTGTGATACCCTCAGGGGTGTCTTGCTGCTGCTGGAGCAGCTGCTGTTCAGCTGCAGGGACTCAGTGTCAGGGCTGGGGGCTTGTTCCTGGCTGTGGGGGTGTGTGGCAGTGTCCTGCAGAGCTGAACACCCTTGCTAGCAAGGAAGGGCTGTCCAAGCTTGGAGCAGCTTTAGCACAAACAGGTGTGTCTGCTGCCTGCCTGGACCTGAGCAGGGTGCTTGTGGTGGTTACACACAGTGCCTGAGGATGGGCCTCCCCTATCCCTGCTGTGGGATCTTGGAGGTGGGTCTAGCACCCCCTTCCCAAGCTGTGTGGGAGGAAAAAGTGTGGCTACAACAGAGCAACTTATTCTCAGCTGGGCCTTCCAGCACTATTGCCTTCCCACCCAGTGGGGCTGAGGACCTTGTGTGGATGCTGGGCAGCAGGGTGAGGAGCAAGGCAGCTCCTGGGAGCAGTGATGCAGGTGAGTAGGAATTGGGACCTCCGTACCTTCCCCCACCCTGAACAACACTCTGCTTGCAGATGCCTTCTCCCCCTTCCCTCTGGGTCTGAGTTGGCCCCATGTTGTGCTGCCCTGAGGCACCAAGAGAGGTTCTTCCCACTCTGTGCATCCAGCTCCTCTGACATCAGGAGCTGAGATCAGGGCCCAGCCCTCCCCATCAATCGACACCAAGACAGAACAAGCAGGTTCTATGCAAAAGTATCTTTATTGGATACAAAAACTTTCCAGTATAGCAAAAAAAAATTACATCATTGCTTATGGAGCTTGTCTGGGCCAAAACCCAAGACTTGCAGCTGGTCTCCTCCGGTCCTGCCGTGGGCCATCGGTTCCCCTCCCATTACACCTGGGCCTTGGTGGTGGCTCCGTTCTCAGGGGCTGGTCCGGGCTGTGGGGCTGCAGGGCTGACCTGGATGGGGACGCTCCTCTCCGGGGCGGCGGGCAGGGCCAGCCGGGGGGCCTCGATGCGGAGCTGCCCCTCCTTGGACAGGGAGCAGGTCAGCGCCTCCGCGTCCACCTCCTCGGGCACGTCCCACTCCCGCTTCAACACCTCGTACTTGTAGGAGAAGGAGCCCTTCTCATCGACGTTCTGCGTCTCCTTCTGCCCCACCAGCACCACCTTCCTGCCCACCACCTTCACCGACAGCTGCTCCGGAGCGAAGTTCTTGACGTCCTGGCAGATGGAGAAGCCCTCCCCAGAGCTGAGGGTCAGGGAGGTGCTGGAGCTCGGGGCTCGCTCCATGGCAGAGGCTGCC